AGAAATCTTATCAAAGAACCCGGGTAGACCAGGGGAAAGCCGTGCACATGAATCCCTCTGCTGCAGATCATTTCCACCACCTTAATAGGCAATTTAACGATACTTTTTGATGCTTACAAAGCAATTATATTCAATTACAAGCTGTTTTGGAGATGGCGATGACAAATAAGTTGATAATCTGCGCGTGAGGCAGGAGAAGCCTTGCAGATTTAACTTACTTGTAGGTGAGCATGTTCTCCTGGTTATTAAAAGAATTTTGATATGCATTATTCGTATATTCGCAAGTCGAAATCACATACACTGCAAAAGAGACAAAGAAACTGTCAGAAACTTGATGTTGCGCAGTCCCAACGGTGAACATTCCCAAGAATATGATTCCCAAGAATGAAAAAGTTTTGTAATTCTGAAATATGTTTCTCAACAGCAGGTGGTCGTGATTCTTTAATGATTCAATTCGACTGCTCTGATAAGTGCTATACTTTTGATTCTTTACTGTTTCATCTCAAAATTGGAATATATGCATATTTGGATATATCAAACTAAAAATGTATATTGTTATCAACCTTTCTAGAAAGAATTCATTTGGCGGCCCTAGCTGTTTTGTTCGTCTCTGCGTTTCTCAAGGGTACTGTCGTCGTAAGCATTCAGCCGGCATTGAAGACAACTTATACCGACACTCACTCACGGCAAAGGCGGTTGTAGCCGATAATTGGACAAATTTCCCTGCGTTCAGAATCATTAATTTTGAGCATAAAATTACATCCGGGAGTCTGTTTTCTAGGTGTTTAGGCCGTGGGTGCTTTGTCGCGAGGAATAGAAGCATCTCTAAACGAGGGATTGATACGGCTAGTGACGGCCCTGAGTTGGGCCGTAAAACGCGGGGTGACGAGCATTACCCTTGCTCATGGAGGCGGAATGAGCCGATTGTCGCACCGAGAAGAGACAATGTTGTCGCGGAAGGTAAAATTGTGGCCGTCTGCTGCGCGGCGCCATGGACCATATTAAGGTTGGATGTGCGACAAGTGGGGCCTGATACGCCAAATCTGCTCGCATTATTCCGCTATCTAAATTTCCACACTATTACATATCGTGTCTATGGCACAACCATTTCACAAATTAATTCCCATTATGAGATTATTGTGACGACCATTTAGATCGCCAGAGAAAAGAATGCTTGTTTATCTAAGCTTGTAAGTTATGTTAAATTGAATGGCTTAGACCACTAATTTTGAAAACAATGTTCATCTACCCATTTCTAAATGTGTCTCTTCGTCAATTTAGTAGAAAGTGTTTATTCCAAGAGAGTCACGATAATGCTGAATCCGAGGTGAAACAAATACAGGGGTTTGCAGTTCAGCTCCCAGTTTTCCCCAGGCTATAATTCTGGGTCTTGATTATAAGATTGTGAGCAGTTTTGTAAAGCAGAATCCAATAATATTGTCTATTAAATATCAAACTACGAATGCTCCTAGTTTCGAATTTCTTCCTGCAAAACATTCACATCTTATTAGACTTTATCGAGAAAGATGAGTTTCGTTTTATAATTTCCGACCTTATGTACGTCAATAATTAAGCCGCAACTAAACCGCTGTACCAAGTTGTCAGTTGAAGTTAGTGCAAGTGATTAGAAAAATCATCAAATCACCAACCTTCACTGGCATGTGGACCCGAAGAAAAATGAATTAAATGCGTTCAATGTTGATACGACGTGATTGTTCTGAAATGCATACCTAATATTAATAAGACTCAGTGATTCCAAAATGCGTAAAAAAAAGGGCAAAATTAAAAAATCTTACGAATGAGACATTTTGTGGATGTCTTATGAATTTTAAGGACGCGCACTGCTTAGAGCACTCTATTCTAGCCGCCCGGGTTGCTCTGAAGAACACTCTACCTAATTATTACTACACCTCATTGTGTTCGTCTGATTGGTAAAGCATTTATATTGTTAATACAGCTGATTATTTTGGATATTAAATACCTTTTGGTGGCTTTGTCACTTATCAAATATATTTTGCAGCTTTGTGTGAAAACATTTATTGTATCATTTCACTTCACGCCACTTAGGTTTAATGTGGATAAGTGGGTCTTCTTTAGATATCTGATTCTTTGAAAACTCAAGAGATATCGAGGGGTTTTCATGTCCGTGTGAATACTTCGAGGAGCACACTCAAGAAATAAGCGCTAAAATGCTTCCCTGCTGCGACCGAGCCTGTCAGCATCATGTAAATGCATTGCGAAGAAAGAACCTCATCAAGTGCTGCAGCGATTTAATGATACGAGCAGCACTTGGACGAAGGAGCGCTCGCTCAAGTCACGTGCCCCTACAAAGCGCTCGTGCAGCGTCGCGTACAGTTGATCAGATAGGGATGTGTGACACTGCCATCTGACTTCAGATCGTCGCTAATGAGGGGCGGGGCGCTATAGGGGGCCGCACGCTATCGAACAGACGAAAACAACGGAGAGACTATCCAGCGTTCAAGAAAAGAATATCACATTAAAAGAAAACCACTTAACACAGACAAAAATACGAGGCTGCCATTGTTAATGAGAACAGAAATCATTTGCGTTTAAAAGTCCTTCTCGGATCTGCTAGTCCCACTAATTGAGTGTGACTTAATGAATTTGGTGGCGAAATGAAGTGTTACCGTAGACAATTGCACGTCGCATTATAGGAAAAGCTGCACGCTACAAAATTAACACAGCGAATACCTACAAAAGAATAAAAGAGAAATGCGTAAATGTTTTTTGGTGTTATAATTTGATGTTTCAGAAAAAGAATAAGAAATCAAAATTCGGGAGAACTATTTTCTGAGAAACAAACAAACAAACAAAACAAGCAAGCAAGCAAATAAACAAAACAATGATGTTAATTTCCAAATATGTATCTGATGAAATTTATAAACATTCCTGTTTAGAAGTTAGTTTGTGAACTTCAGAAGATACCCATATTATAGACGCAAGCTAACTAGTGAAATACAGGTATTGGTAAAATATTAAAAACAAATTCGTAGATGACGCGTTTTGCAAACCGAACTTATTGAACAGAATTCCTTTTACAAAGATAACATGAAAATCAATTAATTTACGATTTGTTTTTTTACACAAATTTTGAACTTGAATCAATTTCATGTCATAAATCATACGAACACAAACATGCCCAGAGTGTTTGCCATTTCTTTTGCTCGTTCAGTGTCAGTTAGGCAGATCAATATTGTAACTAAGTAAATCAAAACTACCTTAGTTTAGGAATTTGCCACAAATAGTATACTGATGACAAACCGCACTTTGTGAGAGTACATTTCCAACGTAGTTTCCTAAGGGTTTCCAACAGTTACCAAACAATAGCAGATTTAACAATATTTTACGTCAAAATGACATTGATTCCTTTTCCTATTTGGTATGTTTAACATATGCTTGCTTAGGCTAAATGCATGTGTGATAGAACTAAGTTTAAGATTTTTTAAAATTTGTTACTTAATTCCGGCGAAGAAATGGGATCACCAAACAATTTTGAACATGAAACATTTTATTCTGTGTTACAATGGAACGTGTGTAACATTTCTTGTGTCAGCTTAAGAAACAAACCCTGCTCTTATACAGTATGTACGTGCAAAACAAATGTTTCATTTCTACGGATTTATTTCTCGAGAAAACAATCCATCGCTCTAGTGATACACAGAGACGGACATACTGTTGTAAAACGAATTCTACGAATGGTTTCATTTGAATAACACTTAATGCAATCTTCCTTTTTACGAATGAGAACAGTAAATTTGCACTCAGTCCAGCCACGGCCGTCTCTTATTACATGCAATAAAATTGTGGTCGCATGCCCTAATTATATTAATGTTGAATGGTTAAATTCCTCTTAAAAATCGGAAAACGTTTTCTCTGTTTTTTCAGACTTATCTCGGTCTTTTCCTCAATTATTTTAAAGACCTGAACATATTTTCAAATATGAATAAATTACTGTAATGGAAAAAATTATGAGAAGGGTCTAAAAAAAGTATGAGTCTGGGATCAATCTGTGCATGGAGTTATTGCATTAAAAAATCTTGTCAATAATTCTTTAGACAAATAGTTCAAAATAAAAAAAAAGGTTTACCATTTACGCATTTACAATGATTGACTCAAAATAGGTTAGTTTGAAATAACCAAATGAAACCATTCCCTGACTGTTTATGTGTTGTCTGTTTCCGAGCATGATCTTGACTCTGTCTTAACCTACTGAAAATAGTCTGCATTGGCAGTTGGTTTCATTAAATTCTTAACGTCTGGACAATAGGATATAGTCTTATATATGAACATAGTCTAATCGTTGACCTAGATTTCAAAATTATAACCCTTCATCCCTCACACTAAATATATACACACCCTAAGTTGGTATACCCAAATTTAGCGCATTCTTGCAATTTCTGCTAAGATAATGCGGGAGAGTCGATTAGACGCCCAAATTGCGTCAAACAACTATGATAACCAAATTAATTACCAGGAGAAAGTTGAATATTGGTCGAACCATGCAGGTGGAGTTCAAAATGTATTGCAATACAAATTTGCATTGATGGAACTTTCCAAGGTTTAAAAAAACTGGGGTGAAATCAACGAGGGAAGGAAGGGGTTGTAGTAGACAAAAGATCGCGGGGTCTAACCATCTCCTATTCTTTTTCATAATTATTTTCAGTTTAAACTTTTTGTTCATTTTTAATGAAATTTCAGGTAAAAAGACTTGAACCAAACATGTTGCTCAAAACCGCTTTCTTCTCGCTCTCCTTCTGACCTAGCGGCTTCCATCATTGTTATTTAGACATCACGGGGTCGAATATATACGGAGAAGCGCAACAACATGGTCTTTAAGAAATGCAAATAATCAAATCACGGCGTTTTTGCCGATGTTTAAGTAAGTTTGGTCCTTAATGGTTAAATAACAGGAACAGGAAGAAACATGACGAATGCTGGGAATAGATATGAGGTTTTACATGTAAAAAAACGCAGCTTACCTTGAATTTTCTGTTGCGACTTGGTGTCTGCTGAGTGATGCTTTACTGCAGTCTCGAGTTCATTAAACCAGAAATACTAGCAGCAGAAGCATCGCATTCATGAAGTCTCAACAGCTGCACTCTACAATTGTACGCAGCACAGACTTAACTCGGACTTTTTATGTTTGCGACGGAAACTTTTAGATATTTTTTTATTGCTTATAAATAGATTTACTGTTTTAATTACATTTTGGAATATATATATATAGTGTGTGTGTGTGTGTGTGTGTGTGTGTGTGTGTGTGTGGTATTTTTATTGCGTTGCCTAATGCAGTTCTTGTAGATAACGACGGTTATACATGTATAACAAAATAAAATAACTCTGATACTTGGATCATTTTTTTCGAAGACCAAGATGACCCTTAAGCGAATCAGTTGGCAAAATAAACAGCAAATGATAGGTTTTCGTTCGAGATCAACTTTATAAAAAATGATAAAAAATAAACTAATAAAAGATCAACGACTTTTTTCTTCTCGATATCTCTCTGTTCCTGTGCAAGTAGCATTAGCCCCGCGATTCTGATTGGTTAGAAGCGTAGGGACAACTGCTCAAGACGTATTCTTTATTCCGTGTTAGGGGGAGTTCCAAATGAGGACTCGTTTTTGTAGAATTATTCTTTTTCATTGATGACCCCCCCCCCCCCCGCAAAGGCAAATTTTTGTTTTAGATCTTGTCATTCATACACACACAACAGGTTTGTGATATATATATTTTCTGCACATTTCAGTAAGACCCACTTTAAAAATGAGTACAAAGCCCAAATATGAAGAGAAAGGTGATATTATGACAAAACTTAAAAAACAGTAACTTGTAGCAGTAACTGTTACATTTTCTATATGTTAAAATTAAACCAATTAATTTACAATTGTAATTTATCTCAATAGTGACAATTTCTGTCAAAGGGAAATCCGATTTCGTTAAATAATTGCCATTTATGAAGAAATGACAAAACATAAATATGAAGAAAACAGCATGGACTGACTTGAGAAGGTCAACACAACAAGTATGATTGCTACAGTTGAGCCTTGCTTGGTGCACTCACAGTCTGATCGCACCTACCGCAATTCAAAAACTTTCACATTGCAGTGCTGTTTTAAAAGGGCCAGATACACATTGATCGTTACAAGTCAAAACCGTTAAGGTTTTTGAAATCATCAACCATGGCGGTCTCTCTCTCTCTCTCTCTCTCTCTCTCTCTCTCTCTCTCTCTCTCTCTCTCTCTCTCTCTCCAACGCACCCCCCCCCCCCCACAAAACATATACTCACACTAATACTCCAAACCATCACCACATAACAGTAGCAGTGCTGCAGGCATTCGATCCATCAATACAAGCCTGCTCATCCAACTGAAAGTATCTATCTCATTTCTTTGATTACAACATCCATTAACTTGGCCGTTTGGTTCAATTTGCAAAAGATTTGTCACTCAATGCGGTATAATGATAGCAAATGGGGACCTCTCAAAGTGTAATTTTGACTTACAATATTTTGTTAGGCCCTAAAAGACTGGCAGGAAATGAGAAGAGATAAAAATTCCCCGAGGATACGATCCATTTAGACGAGTACGGAGCTTCAGTAAATCAAGATCAAAGTAGTGATTAAACTGAGAATTAAAGACAAGGATGTATCATTCGGCGTACTTAGTAGCGGAAAACGAATTCGATTTGATGTTCACATACAGTAAAGGTGTTTTAGTTCACAGAGAACAATTCGACAGATAGATTGCGTTTCAACGTAATATTTATTAGTGGGTTGCGCGTGCTTATGTAGAGGAAAGTTACAGGAAGCGAGAAGAACTTTATTTTCCTTTGCACGAAAACGTTTTTGAAAATTTCAGATGATTAACAAGACCTTTCACTAAAAGATCAAAGAAGAAAGGTATAAGAAATAAACCTTTTAAGAGAGTCAGCAAATTCACATTCACACTAATTAACAAATATCATTCTGTAATTTTGAGTGCTAACAACAATTAACATTTCAAATTGAGAACAGGATTTTGAAAAAGGAATTGGGATCACGAAAAAGAAGCCTCGTGTTTATCGTCTATTGATCAATAACAGTTGTAAGACAAATAAATTTTCTTGACACAAATTATGAATCATTGACAAATAATTTAGGTATTAATTTTCCATCACTTTCAGCTCAGTTCGGAAAGGAAGTATGTGGTTCAAACCACAATAAATTCTCTTCTTCCGATTGTTTCGTTTTCCTTTATATTACTGCATCTTGAAATCTGTTGCCAATGCGAGTACTGTGAACGATATACAACTCATATGAACTTCATCAAATGTTTTTTTTTAAGTAGACAAAGTCAATGTATATTTATGATATTTGCAGAAAAAACATTTTACGTACATAATATGATCTGTTTCACATTTTATTTTTAATGTTTGTGTTTGAGAAGACTGGTAATAGTAAGCACTGATTTATAAATGGTTTACAAATGCAAACGATAATTTTTAAAACTCTGAAAATATCGAAAACCATAATTCGCTCTTTAAAGTGAATACCTGCTCCGCAACAATGTCGCCTGTTCTTGCGTACATGCCGGGTAATTGAAGTTTATGGTTAAAATATACAAAATCTAATTTATAAAGGTATTATATGTAACTACATCGATCCATAAGCCCTGAAAATGACTTCCTTTGGAAATCTACCCACCATAAGATTGGCAAACAGTGAACTATAAAGACTGCTTTTACTACATCAAAAGATGCCGAGACAAGAGCTAGGATTCAAACTCTTTCAGTCGTACGCCATTTCTTTTCAACAAAACGAATCAAATGAAATGGGAATCAAAGCGGAGAGGTTGGAGGGAATGGGTGAATATCCGTGTGGACACTCACGTTTGCCTCTCGGATGTAAGGCTTTTTAACACATGATATTAATACCCATTGTAGATTAAGTCCGCCCACTGTTAGACTGCTACAGTATCTTCGGCTCTTTTGTACGATTTACCTTAGATATTAGTAAATAAAAACACATAAATCTTTGATTTCTGATATTCTTAAGGCTCGAGTCTTATATCCGGTTGAGCAACTTTCAGACAAGTGAAGTGAAAATATTTGAGGAGAGGCCGTTTGATAAATATCAAGCAGTACAGTGCACAATGCAGCACCAATCAGACTATCGAACCTATTTTCTTTCGTTAATTTTCAAACAGAAAGCCAAATCAATGGAGGTAATTAATTCTTATACCTCTTGTATTCATGGGGAATTTTGTCTTAGTAATCCGACAACATCATGAAACGGACCAAATCAATGAAACCGTTTAAAAGATCAAAGTAGGCATCAATTATTAATCGGTAAGTTACAAGTGAATCCTCGGCCCGATATCCGGCACTAGTTAACGCGGCCAGGTATGCCAGGTATGTTAGCCGTCCCACATACCAGATATTTGATCTGAGTCAGTGCAAGTGATGGACTCATTGTTTGATATTTTTCCACTCCAGATCAACAGCTTTGTTACCAGTGAAACCGGCGCATTTGCAATTTCACCCCACGTGGGTCTAAAGCCCGTCGATAAATAATAAGCAAGTTGAGCAACTGTAATAGGAACTCATTCGATTATAAAGAGCCTCAAATACACCACAATCAAAGACATCAAAGGGGCCGCCGAGTTTCTGTGTTGTGGTTTAAAATGACGAGGTTGTTTCTTTTGCTTATTTCTTCTATTTGTGAATTAATTGAGCGTGAATTCTGACTATAAATATTAATGATCGGGTATTTGAGAAGTTTGTAAACACCCTTTCAGCATACGTTATAGTCATCAGTCTACCGGCAGGCTGAGGGCCGGGGTTAAACCCATCTGCACCTGCCTGACTCGCTTCACAGAATACAAAACCAATGCATAAATTAATTTCTTCCCCAGACTTAAAGTTATCTTTGAAACTTTCCATTCACGCAGTACAATGCGGCGTAATTTACAATCCATCTCTAGAATTAATCGTAGCATAAACCCCAGTCATTCTGTTCACAGAGACAACCCTAATCGAAACCCTTCTCAACCCAATGGGCGTGAGAGTGCTTTGATCAGTAATTTTTCATTTAATTATCATCATTTTCCAGCAGATTTCACTAATTGTAAAAAGGATGTTTCGATTGTGTATCTTAATCAAAACGCTTCAGCTCTGTTCTGCAATTATCTGCAGCCTTCAACTCCGTGATTGCTCTGAGATGACGATTTATTTCACTCAATTACGGCACGTGTGCAGAAAAGTAGGGCCCAGCATTCAATCATTCGGATTAAATGCTATGAGAATCTTTGTAAATATCTATTACAAGCTATCTATCAGTGTAATACTGCTCCATTAGCCGCCAGTGTTGCAGCCGCATTAAGATCTTGTTCAAGCTTATTTGCACCTGCGATCAGACCTTTGAAAATCGAACATGACAATTATAGATAATGACAATGTTTAACGACATTACTGTGTCTGATAGCGCTAATGCCGTCCCCAATACGCCGTAGAAAGATAGCCAAGCCGACTTATTAATTAAAATGTGAAGTAGAAGTTTCCCTGATACGAATGAGGAACAAGGACAACTGCTTGAAAATACAAGTAAATATGGGTTATAGATCCAATTCTGTTTAATATTTATGGTATCATTCAATCATAACCAAATGTAACAGCATAAGTTCACGATCAGGAAAATGAACAAGAACAATAGCTGCAAACCTTTCAACTGATACAGACATTGTTTTAATTTTTTGCTGGTGACTAGATAATGTTAATAACTTGGTAGCACCTCACTTGAGCATGCGCAAATTGGCAAGTTGCGGCCTTATTCAATTTGACCCGACTGAAATATGAGGTATGCGTCATTCGTGCTCGTTAATGTGTTTGCTATAACTAATATTACATTAAAGCACTAGGGCGCTAGAACAGAAAAAAAGAGTCATATTTGTCATATCCTATCAACAAAATACCTAATGTTACTATAAACGTTTCATAAAAATAAATCTCAAACTGTACAATCGGTCATCACTTAGTGACGCCCTGATGTCATGGCAAGCTCTCCTTATAATATCTGGCATAGCAATCTAAAAAAAGTGTTACAAAAGTTTCATTTGATGAACAAATAAATACATACATCTTATAAACTTAAAGATTCACCTAGCTGGTTTGACTCTCAAACTTAAACACCGTTTACAATGCCCAACGACCCCAGGGAAACAGAAATATTTGAGGTACTGGAGGTGAACTGAAGAAGGGAAATACTCATTTGATATTTTGGTAATATTTCCCTTTTTTTGACAATTTCACCTCAAAAGGACATATCACATTTTAATCTATTGAAAATAATGCAGACAAACCGATTTTCTCAATAAGTTTAAAGTTCGAGACGATCTGCTTCTTTCTCTCTCTCGCTCTGTGATCTCAAATTGCAATTGTTTTTTTTTTCAACTAAATCAGAAAAAAATACATTCAAATGCGATATATTTAAATCATGTTTTACTTATGAAGTAAAATACTCGCTTAATTTTGCGAGAGAGAAAAAAATCGCCTCCTCCTTCTTTAACATGCAGTCTAAGAAAGTTCCATTATATAACAGTGAGTCCTACAAGTGATGTCCCAGACTGGGATAGTACTGGTGTGCCGGTGGGGGTGATGCCTGTGGGGGTAGTCCTGCTGACACTGGGTAGCCGTGGGACTGGCCCAGAAAATATCCCGGGTGCGGGTTGTGTAGTAGGGGGTGCATTGGTTGCCCATACAAGAGGGCAGCAGTGTATGTCTGAGGCGCATACGAAGACAAGCCCCCTCCCAGGCTGCCGTGTGGGGGATGTGGGATAGTAGGGCTGTTCACGTCCATGCCAGGGTTCTGTTTTTTCCATTTTGTTCTTCGGTTCTGGAACCAAATTTTCACTTGCGTCTCCGTGAGACTTAAGCTTAGTGCTAAGTTCAAACGTTCACAGACTGACAGATAGCGCGTGGTTTTAAATTTGTTCTCCAATGCAACAAGTTGCTCGTAGGTAAATGCAGTCCTAGCGCGCCGTGCTTTCCCGCCCTTGCTGCTACAATTGCTATCGTTCAGGGAGTATGGACTGTCTATCCCTTCTTTGGAATCCTCATCACCTGAATAGTTTTCTAAACTCAAAGAACTGACTTCTGCGGTCGACCGCTGGGATAAAGTATCGTCCACTTCTGTCGTTGCCTCGCTCATCTCGTCCTTGAGGTCTTCCTCTTTACATTTCAGCTCGCTCTCGGAGTCCTGCCTTGAATTCTCACTGAAGTCTGGAGCAGTCTTTTCTATGGAATCTGAAGTAAAACGTATATATTTAATCCCTTTGTACCTTAATAAGTACCTTTATTCAAAAAGAACATTTATACCTAAACAAAGTAATCAAGACTTCATTATTAAGATCTGCCAAATGCCAATGACCCCACTTACACATAAAAGCAAATGTGATCTCTTCACTTTGTCTTTAACTTTTTAACTGTTTATAAGAAAGAGACTGATTTACCCGCACGCCTTCATTTGAACAGTTATTACTGCTTTTAATTGTGTAGGTGTTCAAACGATCAATCGTCAAAACATATCGGGTTTCCTCGCCCTTTGAACAGGCTATTGAACACCTGAATCTGGTATTGAATGCACTACATTTTAGAAATGTATCTGTAATTACAAAAAAGTCTTTGAAATCGGTTGTCATTGATCAAAAATTCCAATACTCTCTTTTTACTTTGAGGTTGAAGAAAGCCTCTTTTATCGTCGTCGTCGTAATAGACTGCCCAATGAACCTAAAACAGGACAGCCAAATAACAAGTAATAATTGTCCCAAGAAGTAAAATGAAAAAAAAAAAACGTTCTGTGTTTATATCTGAATAAGTATGTGATTGTTTATTTGATTTTAAAATTAATATAATTATCTTTGATTCTTTTATTTTCTAATTTTCTGACTCGGCGATAAATAAAAGATAAATCTAAAATTGCCATGCATATAAATAACAAGAAATGCTAACAGAGAAAAACGACGACCATCTTATCGTTATAACTGCACTCGTGTCGGCTGCAGAATAACAACTCTTTGAACAGGTAGTTTCCAGACTGAATGTACTTAAAACATCAGACATCGTCACATGTGATGAATCCGCACCCCACAAAAACAACACTGGGCCAAATTTGGATTAAATAAACGACAACAAATCGCTTTGGTGTGAGACGGAGCTAACGTCAGCTGTAATTGGGGAGGAAAAGAGTGCGCCTGTATGTTCAATGTAACAAAATTATTTCTCACAATACTTTAAAATTATGGAAAAATAAATCTTCTTTTTTTCTCTGTTTTTAATTACCAAGTACATGTTTATAAACGCTGCGGCAATTGGGCAGTGTAAAGGCTACCAGCAGGGGAATCGGAGGAAAACAAGAGCAAATTAACCACATACTTTCAAGGCCTGCCGGTCACGACTGCAGAAAGTTTGAAGTTTCAACAGTACCACTTATCAAAATAAATCTGCACCAAAATCTGAGCCTTCTTTGCCCTCCCGAAACCCTGATACAGCAATTCAAGACAAGTGGCAACGTAAAAATAGCGAGGTTACAACACAGAGACGACACTGGTGCAACGGCGTGGAACCCTGTTCAACTGCGAGCATATTTCCAGAACAGGTGTCAACCAATAAAGACCTCGCTATCTTGCTGTGTAAAGGGCATGGTGCCTATTCGTGCAATGTTTTCCATAAAGATACATCGAGTGGAGACATGTAACGTCACTCGTGGTGGTTATTTCATATTTCATTTTTACGGTCTAGGTTAAACGGCTCGTTATCTTGAAAGCTTTCTATATTCGTTTTTGTTTATTTCTAATAATTTCTGTAAACTCTAACTCTTTCTCACCATAGACGAGGGCATAACCCTGAAATACTGCCTCAATTCATACCATGTGAGCGGGTTCGAAAGTAGAATTTGTGCCAATGTGAAAAATGCCATTGCGCACATCTTTGACAATTGAAAGAGAAAGGGAAAATGAGCAGCTTGATTTTTTCGTAATTCCAATAAATGCCTGCATAGTTATTTTAATTTAAAATATTTTTACCATTTTTGTTTTTTTGGATTAGCGAAGATTATAGCTTAAAATCGTGAGAATTTGGTTGGATTTATATTTTAAGGAAGAGAAAAGTTAGTCGTCATAGTAACATCACAATGTTGCAATCCCTCATAAAACTATGATCATGAAATATAAGAACTTTTTAACAAATTATGCAATGTTTTTTCATATTTGGTCATATTATTCTCAGGGCTTTTTGTGTAAAGTTATTCAATTAAATATTTGTATGTTTTTCCTTCTTTTCCCATATTTCAAACCCTATGAAGCTACCTAGTTATTATGTTTCTCAATAGATATTCGCTTGTTTTTTATAATAATTTTTTGGGCCAGTATATTGCTCGTCAAGAAAATGCTACGACATATATTAATTAAGCAATGTTTTTTATATTTAGACAAATCATTATGAAGCCTTTTTGAACCAAGTTATTTGATTATACAGGCTCTTTCTGTATGATTTTCTCCTTTTTCTCATATTTCAACATTTGACCCTACTTCGTTATTACATGTCCAACTTAATATTTTTAATCATGTATAAGTCGGTATATGACTCTCCAAGAAAATGAAATTACATAAGTGACCTGTTCAATTTGATAAGGATAAAAATATAAAAACAAATCTTTAGGCAAGCTGTAAATTTGCACTGACTCAGGCACATTATTTCGTCCCAGTAACAAATCAACAAAATACAAACTAGAAATCTAGGGTCAATTGCATACCAAAGGTCGATGGTAAAACCACTATGAATTGGGACTTGCTTAATAGATATTTTCTTTTCCTCAATTTCAGTTTTGATACACTTAAAAAGATCGGCTTAAGGTAAGAAAGCACATCGTGTGTATTATTATTGTTTTAATCCAACACCTGTTCCGCCATTACCTCTGGAGCAGAAGTAATATTTTCGCACTCCCCGGGGCCGGGGGATCCATTACTACCCCCTAAGGATTGGTGGAGCGTGAGAAATTGATACGAGAATTTACCATCTACAGTGATCTAAAGGAAACGAGTTAACGCCGAGTTGGAAGATTACACTAGTCTTATATAAAAGTGCTACTTGAATCCTGGCAAGAAAATCGTACTCATCTTTCATAGCAACGACGAGAATGTGATAACGATCTATTCATAAATCGATTGCAAAATATAGTGCGATGTTAGGAAAATAAGGATAACTGATGATTAAAATATAATTTATGAGATAAACCCTTAATGTTGTTTCCTTGTGTTAATATTATCAAGGCAGATTCGTAGCACTTCGAGGATTTACTAAGCATTTTGCAAATACTATATTTTATCGTATTTTTATAATAGTAAAGACATATTTCAAATTAACAAAGATTTACCACCGTACATAGTAAATAAATTGTGACATACATCCATTATTTTATTTACAGTCCCTCTTGGGGAAATAAGACAAATTTTTACTTGATATATCACCATTTTCCACTGGTGATGGTCGGTTATTTTAACTTCATAAATATTGTGTCAAAATAATCGCCTTTTTAGTATTTCAATTACAAGGAAAAATTAAAATAAAATGACAACTAAAGCAGCCCAGCAATATCTGAACATTAAGGCGAAGAAATAAATATCACTTCCTATCGTTGACGTCCATAATTTCACTGAGCGATATAATACCTATGTATTCTATAAAATCTACTCACCACAACTTGAACTACCGGCCGGGCTGGTGGGCGGCTCCGACCCCAGCTTCTCCTCTTTACCCCACGGGTGCCACACGCGGGAGATAGGGCTCGTGGAGCCGGTGAATTTCCTCGGGTCGAGGATATCTTGTACGAAGAAAGGCGTATGTTTCGCCATCGTGAGGCCAGGGCTGATGGAGGTGTGGCTCCCACTAGATACTGAGGCTGGAGAGAGCGCAGGAGAACTGTCCGGTGTTAGCGCCTGGCCATAGTGCTGCTGCCGTGTTACACTGGACATCTGACCTTGGTCAGTCGTTGCTCGTGGCCTGTCCATCCTAATGACAATAACAACGGCAGTTGACAGGTAAACTGATTGGGCAATTAGAGTAGCTTTCTTCGATGTTATCTGTGTTCGTCTGCCTACTCTGTGACTGAGACCGTCCAGCGAATGAACCCTTTCTGCCTAATGGTACGCCGCTATTGATTGCGGACTATGCTTCTAATTGGTTGCGAATTAATTGATAGTTTTGACTGGCAGCGGGCGTTGGGTAGAGAAAACATGAAAAGAGCCGAAATGTAAAGCCTGTGGATCTTAAATAATTGGGTTTTAACCGATTGCCATACAAAAACACACAAACAGGCTATTTACTGTTTGTAACAGTGAATAGAAACGGTGCGAGTGTCTTAAGAAACAAGCGCGCAACATTGTTTGTTGTCTTTTGGTTGGTTGCGCATTCCTAAAAGACTTAAGCTAGGGGTGGAACTTTCACCGCAATCTAATTTGAGCGAAGAGGCGGAAAATTAAGATCGCCCCATGTTCACAAAACGTAACTTATCCCTAGTTACACATTTAAAGCAACATTTAACATTTAAGGTTGAAAATGACGGCGAAGAAATTGTTTTACATTTTTGAACAGCCAGACTGAAGAAGACAATAAAACGGGTGTGGGGGAATCCTCACGTCATTCTTACTGTGCATCTTGATTGACCCGCCTACCTATTTGGGAAATCATTCAAGGTTCTTAACGAAACACCACCCTTTTTATACCCTTGATTGATGCAGCGTGGCAATAAAGGGTAATTGTCAGCCCCTATTTGTAACTCTGGTGTGCCAATTTCGGCTAAATTCAACTCATTGAAATTTTGATCGGCATTTTCTTTTCCACAACGCGGCAATCAGCCTGAAATAGGACAGTAACTATATCCACTTAATTCGACAAAAGAAACCAATTTAGAAAATTACGGGCGCGTAAAGAGAGAGATAACGCACGTCTTATCTGGTAGAATCGACACCGAGGTTTACACGAAGAAGCTGCTGTGAGGTGCTCACCTAGGAGATTTTTTTACCAACCACATCGACAAAAAAACAATAAAAAAAACTGCACAGGATTCCAAATTTATAGAGTTCAGATTGAATGACAATTGTCTCGTTTATCTTGTATATCTTGGTCAGATTGTCATCCAGCTGTTAGTGATGTCTTGATCAGTAATGGTGGTTAGAGTCAGAACTCCACATCGGCTTGGAAAAGAGGGATATGTCTGGATGGAATGTAGCATAAGGTCAATCAAATTTGCCATAGGGTTGAATCAATGGGACTTGTGAATTATCGTTATGTTCTTCCTAATGCCTCGAGGTAGACTTAACACGCGACAATTCTGAAACATCTTTAGTGAAATTTACTAATCGATATGTAAGCTTGTTAGTGGCAATTTCTCGAAATTAAAAGCGTGTTATCAATTTTCCCCGATTCCCAGTTGTCTCCCGCCGATGTATGTTTTATCGAGATTTACATGAACCATTGCTTCCTTTTAAACCAGCCACTTTTTAATTTGAGTAAATTAGGGAGATAGCAAAAGCTCATTGAGCGCTCAGATCACTTCAGTTGCACCAACTCATTTGTTCGCGTGGGGTAATCACACTAAAACGACTTCATCTTTGCTCCTCTTGGCCGATCAATTACCAGATAATAATTCCGAGAGAAAGGCAAAGATACTCGGGATATTAATGTGATTCTGTAAATATTATAGAGTAAGTAAGAGTTAGCAGAGAGAAAGAAATGCTTTTAGCCACCATTGGGAAGCCATTGTCCTGTCAGCTCTGTGATGCTCTCCTGGGAGCGTCCAGCTTACTTTGATAATTCCCCCGATGTCAAGGGATAAGGACAAGTCTCAAAGCTTCCAGTAAACTTATCATAGAATGTAAATTTGCTCAGAAATTAATGAAGTAGATTAGTTGATCCTATTTCTAACACGGTCCCATATAAGTTGCTGAGGAGCGAAGAATGGGTGCTTTTACTGCCAAGTCGATGTGGACATTATCTGCATAATGGCCGATGGATTTTGAATGACGTGCTGTTATAACTACATAATTACTGCAATTAATTTACGAAGATAAATAGACAATTTTCTGTTATTCATCAGGGGGCTGGTAGTGACTGGAAGATTGAGTTAAATATCAATCAAACAGAATAGTCTGAGAAGGCGACGATCATGTCACATATGGAGAGCTATTTTTTCTTTCTGCTACATGTACTTTTCCTCTGGTCTACATAACTACTGTATATCTATAAATGATTTTGAAAATGTAAACTGAACATAAAAATAGGATAAAATGAAACACGAAAAAAATTTAAAGCATATCTTACTAGTATCTCTTTGTTTTGAAGCGAAGATTAGTCAATATTTCTTACCAAACACTGAATATTTTTTTGTTTGCGGAACACAATGCCATTGGTTATTTTTAAAAAAGTATAATAATAATAATAATAATAATAATAATAATAATAATAATAATAATAATAATAATAATAATAATAAATGTTTCGCATATCCAAATTGTTTTATTTATTTATTTATTTGGATTTTAAACGATCAGTTTCTGGTTCGTGCACATATTGGAGCAGAGAGAAGCTCGGTGTGTAGCAACAGCTGCTGTGGATCAAAACTAGTCGAAACATAAACCGGAGGCGATGAGATCAACAAGGATACATAACATGGATAAAAGGCTAATTAAGGGAATATGTAAGTGTTTTATTGGCCCATTTAACAAGACTGCTCCTTAGTTTAGTGTTAATTGGCCCCATCTGTCTATCTATACTTGCAACAAAGAAACAAGGACGGGTGAGGTGTTACTGGCTTGGAGTGCTGTACGCGTGGTTCGTGCTTATTTTCGCCTATTACTTTGCACCCGAGCCCGAAGATTGATATCGTTCCTTATTCTTTTAATTCGAACAATTAATTCAACAGAATGGTATCTGTTGGTCCCGCTGTTTAGTTGATGAGGTGTGCGCAATTTGAGAGTCTGCCCCAACCCCAACTTCACTTTGAATTAGACACTCGACCTGTAGATGAGCGGTAACATATTTTCACTGTCATGGAGAGAAGGGCAAAATTAGCTCACAACAAATTAAAAACAACATGACCATTTTACTTTGTAAATCTTCCAGCAACCCTCATCGACTGCGATATGAACTAGATTGAAAGCGTTGGGGCGACGATTTGAAAAAAAAAATTAGGCGCCACCAAGAGCGAGTAACAAAAAAATAATGAAATGCATTACTGTACTGCACGAGGACAAAGTCAGAAATCTAACGCCGTGACTTCTATTTGGAGACGGTCCACTTGCTCCTGGTCACCCGGTGTTGCTGTCATATTGCAGTAATTAGTATTGCTCCGTCGCAAGAATAAACAAACAAGGCGTGCAGAGATCCAGAGCCATACAGAGTTGCTGAAAGATGACAAGAGCAAGCGGAACGAACGGTTCCCGTGCAACGACCGACTCTGATAGATGGAGGGGTTTAATGTTACAAATTGCGTCCTCATTATTCTTGTGTAAATATCCAACGGAATGAGAATGAGGGGAGAAATTGAGCTATTTTGACGATTAATACATTCCGTCAGCCGACACCCAGACTGAAGAAGGCCAGAGAAATAATCTTTCATTTAAAGATGTTTGTATGCTCATGCTGCGGAATACAAGTAGGGGATTCCTGCCTGGCAAATTCAGAAGTGTCAACTTTAAGGAAAATTAGATAGGTGGCAAATTTCACATGTTACCGACTTGACTGTCGCTATTGTCCGGGCATATTACCTGCCGAATACAAATTAAAAGCTCATAATGTCTCGATTTCCAGTATTTCAAACGCGCGGGAGTAGGGTAACAGGAATCAATAATGAAAGACAAGCAGCTATTTCATGCAATCTCGGTTTGAGGGGGGAAAACGACACGATCTAGCGATCGCATCGATTTTCTATACCCCTCAGTAGGCAAGGTGAGTGAATAGCGAAGCCTTTTAGGAGATAATTACAACATGTCTCCTTCTTCATACTTTGGAAACCAATAAACAAACCGAGGTGTAAACTTTCAATCTTCAGGACAAACGACACTTCTGTAAATAAAGTAAAAAAAATTACCTGATTGTTGAGGTGGGCGAACGTAAAAGAAATTGACAGCAACAGATTTTTTCGGCATTTGCAGAAAACAAGTAAAATAATTTTTTGCATTGTCCAAAGTAACAATAAATCACGTAATTGATCGAAAATCAAACATTATCACTCATTTAAATTAAAACTTGGCATTTTACTCCAACTAACTGCTAACGCATGGCAAACGAGAAGCAATGACATATTTTAGATCTTTTCCAAACAGAAAAAAAACATGAAAAATAAGAAAAAAAAAACATTGTAATAAAAGTGTTGTTTCAATATTTTTGAAAATATAAAGAGTAAGTCCTCTCCCTATTCCATTTTTTCTTTTGATTTTCCTGTTAATATATGGCAGACTGAAAGACGGACACACAGACAAAGAAAAAGGAAATACTAAATTTCCTCCACAAGTTGGCGGAGGTAATAGGTATCGAAGCCCAGTCTATACTAATTTCTTTGCAACTTGATGAAGAGTTATTTTGATTTTTTTTTCTTTTCCCTTCCAGACCATAACATAGCAAAGGAGTCAAATTTATCGAGTCGAGCCCTTTGGTCCTCGGGTTAGTTTCAACTTCTATTGGCTCAAACACTTGCGTTAATCGCAGCTTTTAGACGTGTACAAGATGTGAAAAAAACCTACATATATAGAAAAAAATATAACCAAAAGGAAAATAAATAAATAAATAGATAGATAAATCATTAATGCAATGTACCTCAAATCGATATTCGCCTTACACTCTCATAAATATCATTTTTCTTTTAATGTTTGTGATTGTTACAGATCTTTTGTACCAATATAGCCTAATTGTTTGGTCGCTCGCAGTCTCTGCACACTAATGGGTTGTTAGATTAGTCCACCAGTGACAGAGTGCCACTGTTTCATGTGAAATGCTCCGTGAAAATAATGAGGCATTGAACGTGAGACTATCTGCGTCCTGTTTGTCAATTTTCTTTTAAAAAGCAAGCGTTTGTCGTGTGTTTTAGCGTCTGACACTTAACACGATTTCATTACCCAATCAGAGAGCGTCCACGCGTTGGTTGCGGCATTGCTTTGTGATATTTGAAGCTGCCAGTAACAATTTGTCTGACATTGTACTTTGCCAAAATATTGGACAAAAATGGTTACATTCCTTGAGTTTATATTTATACTTTGATTGTGCTCGCTTTCTTAACTTAATTACTTGTTGTTGTAGGAATGTTGATAAAAGCCAGTGAAATATTTAGAAATTACCCACTTGGTTTGGGCTTAAGCTTTGTCCTCATATGCAATCAACTGAAGGTCTTTGTCCAAGTGAAGCCTAGTCAAAACTGGCAGAAAATTTATAAAGAACTTCAAAGAGTTGAAATAATTTAGTTTGCCCACAAGCAAAGAACGAACAACAATGCCAGAGGTCGAAAAAACATAATAAGGCGTGAACCACATTCATGTACACCCCATTTTCACCGGCACGCTACTCATTGTCAACAAACACAAGTTCTCTAAGCAGATATTAGATCACTTTAACATGTGTAGGGATGGCAAAATGCTTATCGATATTCAGCTGCCAATCTAATGAATATTTACGGCACGATATTTTTTCTCTGGTCTTCCGTCATGAGTGGAAGGAAAAAGTTGGATAACCTTATGCGTAGTTCAACCATTTTCAATAATGCAATGTCCATTCATTTGAAATCACACCTGTCAGTACTTACTTGATAACCTTTGTCGTCGTGATTAGAAATTAATTAACAAAGTAATGGTTTGTCTTCAGTGTTTAAAGCGACAACGATACATCAATTGTTTTCCAAATTAACCATAAGACATCAAAGAAAGTGATTTCCCATACGATCGAAACTTGTGTTGCATTTGGAAAATGGTAACCTGCCCAAAAACGCCACCCCAAACTGCGCGCTCAGCAGACGTGCGCCTTCACCCACTGCTTATTCAAACAACACGAATTGCAACTGAGGCCTTTTCCCCTTTCTTGTCTGCTCTGAACTCCGACAAATTGGCCTAGGATTTTTCTGTGCCTCAACACGTCTTGGTAATGATGCCCGGGCCAACTACGGGGCAAAGGAGAGAGTCAATAACAACTTTGATCCAATGTAACGCACTCCTCGCTCGTTAGGAGCCAACCTTGTTCGAGTTAACGTAAATGTGCTAGCGTTTAATTTGACATCAAACAATTTGTAAAACAACATGGAAAGCCAGCGTGCGGTAAATCACCTTTTTGATGTCGGTGTTATTTTTGCATTGCTGCTACATTCCTATTTCTCACCAATGACAAAAAATACGAATGGTCGTAACATTCACGTGAAATTTATTTCACTTTTTGGCAGACTTGGGATGCTGTTCAGTATTCTGATACACAACTTTTTTAGCACCAAGCTGGAGAAATTGACCATGGTAAATATGCAGTTATACTGATAGGTTAAAGCCACAACAGCCATGAACTACTATTGTTACTGCATACAACACAAACCAGTGTGGACACGAGTCAGTAAAAATGGCGCTGTTTACTAAAATAATAATAACAACAAAATAAGTTATGAAGAAGTTGTGTGCATCAAATTGACTGTACAATATTTACAAAATAAACCTTCTTCTCTAGCAGACGGTGCACATTGTAAACCTTCCCTTTCAAATGCAGTATTTGCATAAGCGGGTCGGTGGAAAATTGGAAAGAAAGTCCCTACCTTTCACCGTAATAGGTCTGTCCGGAAATTTATAACCATCAATAATTATTTTGTCATAATTCATAAGTGATAATCCGAAAGTAAATTACGACAAAAGTTGTTTTCGTATTCGGTAGAATAGCCCTCACCTGTTCTGCGCGGCCCCTTTTTTCAGTAGAGTAATACTACAACAAAACAATTCAGTCAAATTCCAGATCAACTGAAATCCAATCTACATGTATAAAGGTTTTTTTTTTCTTTTTCACAAAGTTTGTCCAAAGTATGGATAAAGAAATGGATGTTGTGTTGCAGCCGCAGCAGCCGCTGCCGCCGCCGCCGTGTACTGAGGGTGTCTCAGCAACGTGAAAGGACTTATGGTGCCCGCTCCGTGGAGGTACGGCAGGTAAGACTGTCCATACAGCATGCCTGACGCCGCCCCGTACGTGTGTGTCGGGTAAGCGCCGAGGCCAGTCAGTGAGGAATGGTGAGGCGGTATGGTGGGGCTATTCACGTCTAAGCCTGGGTTTTGTTTTTTCCATTTCGTTCGCCTGTTTTGGAACCAAATTTTCACCTGAGTTTCAGTCAAATTCAGAGACAAGGCCAAGTTGAGGCGTTCGCACACGGATAGATATCTCGTGGTTTTAAATTTATTTTCCAAGGCTACCAATTGTTCGTAAGTGAATGCTGTTCTCGCTCTCCGCGGTTTTCCTGCTTTTCCGCCATCAGAACCTACTGACTGTCTCTTCTCGTCGTCTTCATCTTCGTCAAAGTTGGACTCATCATCTTCATCTGAATTCTCTGTTTTCTCTGAGGTCACGTTCTTATCGTCTTCCATTTCCCTGTGAAGTGTCTGCTTTTCTGTGGTTGCTTCTGCAATATGAATAATATGGACCCTGACATTCTTTTGTAATCTCAGTCTAAACTTTAACTAATCTTNCGGCCATGTACTATGACGGTACAGAATGTGCTCTCACAGAGAAATTTGTGGATACAACTATGAAAGCCATAGTCATAACAATACAGCTCTGAAGAGATCTTGTTTTTTCCCTTCTTTTATTTTTCCATCTTGACATCTATTTTTTTAAATTTTTTAATCTTAAAAAAAAAAAAAAAAAAAAAAAAATCCAACAAAATGTTTTTTTTGTTTCCATAGACAGAAAAGGTCTTTATTTCTCTGGAACAATCGAAATATCTCAACTTAAAGTAAGTACACTCGATTTAAGGCTGAAAGATATAAGAATAAAATGTTCTTCATAACCATCACATATTGCGCTTTTATTTATTTTTTTTTTTAGTCTACCGGTAAACAAGGAAATAACTTTGCTTAAAAGCAATCTTTTCATCATTCCATCATCGTATGTCTTTTTCAAGACTGTAACAGAAATTATAAAGCTATTTTCCGCACTGAAGAGGGAACATGAGAACGCCTTGGTTTTATGAACTTAAGCTGCTGTGTTTGGTGCGTGAAAGTAATTATAAATCCTAAGCGTAAAATTGAAGAAATCGTCAGCGAAAAATCTAATATTATCGGGGTGTTAGAAGTAAAGTTAATCAAAAGGCCGCTGTCGTTTACGCTCGGTGGAGATACATTGACAATTATTGTGGATCATCTCCTCTTTAAGATCTTTTTACTATATGTAATCGGTGCCTCTTCTCTGATGCTTCTGTGCTGTCGATTGAAATTTAATATTCAATTGCAGAATTATTTGACCCACCATTCAATTCCCTGTGATCACAAGTGCAGAAAATAGAACTAAAGTGACGACGGATTACAAATTGATGTTTTTTTTTCTTGACAGAATGATCCACTCAGATTACACAGCACGATGATCGCCGTGTTCATCGTGGCTCATTTCACAAATAAACGCCTTTACCGGCAGCGCGACAGACAAGATTTGGAATGGCTAGGGAATAAAATGTGAACACGGCTATCAATAATTTCACACTTATAATAAAATGCAACTTTCGTAGAAGATTAAGAAGTAAATATAATTTTTTGTCTAAGACAATAAAAGAATCTGAGTGCGTCGGGAAAGGGCTCCCTGAGAAGCCGCGTTGATTCCTCCGCTGCGGTTGTTATCTAAATACGACTGGTATTAAAATGTGCTCTTACTATAACAAGAAAAAAATTAACTTACATAAAAATCCACCTAATACACCATTAAGACATTTTCCTTAGTTTATTTAGCAATTTATAATGGACCTGTACGACAATCATTACCCGAAATTGTTTCCTGTTGTCTATTTCCAGATTTCAATCGCTAGTAAAAGGGATACTCAAAGCATTACCGCCAATGTTTGATGTGTTTCTGGTGCAGAAAATGTGGCTTCATAAAGACAAAAGCAGGGCTCAAAATACTATTAGTACTTTCTAATAGACCATAATGGTCCAGAATATCAGTAAGCATGCAGGTTTTAATTAATCAGCTCGGATTAAAGGGGTATATGCTGTGAACAAATGGCACCCTCGTTGACCTATGTCGTTTGCCATTATACAGATTTCCCATACAAGGCAAGCTGTGATATAAAGAACCCCGATCGTTTAATCATCCTTTCCGACTTAAAAATATTATAACTGTAAAATGATTGAATTTTTAATTTTTTTCTTTTTTGGTGTTCATCTTCTAATTGAACTTGAAACTTAACCAATTTATTTTAATTTGTTATGTAACTTTTTAAAGAATTCATTATCTATTTATTCATACATCTAATTTATTTGGTTTGTCTACCTTACATTCCTTTTGTACTCAATACTTACATTTTCAACAAAGCTGATTTGAATAATCTTGTCCATCAATGTCCTTTATTAACGACTCTAATAATAATATTCCAAAAATAAAATCAAGTTGATTTTTAATCAATTTAAGTTGACAAATGCAGCAAATTTAGATGCTAGAGGGAATTTTACCTTGCAAAATCAGATAAACGTTTGGTACAAAAAGCCGTCACAGGAGAGCGGTTTTATGATTTTTCTTTCAGAACATTTCGTAATCATAATATTTTACTGAGAACAAAATTTAATAATGTAGCTATGGATATTTTTATATAATCCAGTCATCGAGAAAAAACCAATTTATATGAATACAATGACCTTGTTATCACTTGCAGTAGTGTTAAATCAATTTAACATTCGTATATAGTTTAAATATAATATCGAGAGAGGAAATGTGTATTCATATATGGTACCGTAACATATATGTATTATAGATGTATAATAGATATTACTAATAAAATGAATAATTCGCAACTATTCTTATTGCTTTTATATTTGAATATTATTAATTCATATAAATAATTAACGTCTATTAGGCTTGTTTGTTTATGCAACAAATCACAATTCTAAACAAATATAGTTTTCTTTATTTCGATTGTTCAATTCAAAGCCGTATAAATTGGAATGACGGAATAGCATAAAATATCATGCATATTTCAAAACATATTCAAAATAACCACGACGTAAAAATCCACAAGACAATCATTTCTGAGTATCTCTAAACAATCAAATCATCATACGTATCAAATTATTTCCAAAATAACATGCATGTTGTTTATGAATTATATATTTGCTCTTTAAGTCAGTGAGCAGAAGATCAAAAGCCTCTAATCGTAACATGTTTCTATATTTTGTGAGGTTTGAATAGAACATTGGTCCCATGCGTCGATCGCTTGTTAGTGTAGTGCTTTGTGGATACGACTCTAGCCATTGATTTCCTATACAGAGCAAAAGGTCCCTTACCTTCGTTTTCTATTCCTGGTACCGCGTCAACTTTAGCCATGCTATCTACTTCTTCTTGCACCTTTTGAGAGGTCTGACAAGAGCCGTCAGGGTCCCCAACCTCCCCCCCCGAAGACGCTGCTACTTTCCCTGCCCACGGATGCCAGACTGGTAGTTTTTTAGTAACGGGTGCCCCTGTAAATTTGGCAGGGTCCAGAATGTCATTAACAGAAAACGATGTGGCTCGCGTAGCTGGAGCTCGGTCGGGGGACTGAGACCCAGGGGAGCCGGCAGGAGAATGATCTGGCGAAGCCTGGGAGTAAGAACTTCGACTTTGTTCGTCCTCACTGTCCATCGAGTCTCTATCGAATTCAGAGGTACAAGAATTCATCCAACGAGCTGGGCCTACGCCCGGGCACTCCTGAGGTCTGTGTAAAGGCAACTCTGCTAGTATGGACATTCTAGGTCCACACCAAAATATTTTTATATCACTTAAATTTCGTCACAGGTCAGCCGTCTCACACTACGTTAACTCGCTTTCAAGTAAAGCCACTCCGTTTGGACACAAGTATTAATATCTCACTTAAAGGCGCATGCGCAGTGTGCTTTTAGGAACGACTTAATGATATCGCGTTTACTTAATTGCTATTTGAGAGTGATTATTTTCATTGAGCGTTCCTAATTGGCTATCAATTTTGTTGATAGCTTTAACATCTACAAACAGAGAACTTGAGAGCCCGTGTTGCAAAACAATGAGGCAAAGAAGATGAAACCGTAGACTAATTGCCCTGAATAGCTTTCTAACTAATTCTGTCATTACAAGCGACACGAAACGAGAGGTAATGCGCGCGGGTTGCAGTTTCCTCGTAGATTAGAGGAAAGCCACGCTAAAACAACACAGAACGGGATAAAGAAGTAAATCCATGTTAATAGTTGCTGAGTGATGCCAGGAAAAGCTGCCGGATTAAAACGTACAGCAAACTGCAGTCTCGGCTGCTTGTAACTTGGAAGTGTTCAAGAGCCGAACAACCTCTGGGTTTGCCGAAGACAATCTTCCAGCGCGGCATGAGATTGCTTGAGATAATGAAACCTTATCTTTCTCCCATCAAACTCTCTTAATGACCCGGGGATGTGTTCCTGAGAACCGTAGCCCCCCGTGTTAATGAGCTTTTATTATCCTCCCTAGTTAGGCTCCCGTGATTAGCGGTAGATAAAGCCCTCAAACACTCATTAACACCCTATAGCTATTCAATTAAAACGATGTTATCGTTCTCCTACAACCTGAGAGACCTGACCGATTCCCCTGTGTTACCAACAACGTGCTACCAACAACGGTTCATCAGAAACAAAAAACAAATTATGTAAAGCAATGGAATTATCTGCCCTTTTAACACGGCTGCACCTATTAACTGTTTAATTATTTCGATCCGGCTAGGGCTTGCCTGGCAGTCTCATGTCGCTTTTATTTATAAATAACACTCCCAATAAAAGTATAATTCTTTGCAATGGATATTTTGTCAAACTTTGTTCAAGCGTTTTCAAAAGAACACATGTTACGCGTAGAAAGCATAGGACTTATTTTGGTTGTAAATCTACGTCTTATAAATCGCCAGGGTCTTGCCGAAGGTGTATCTAAACAGTCGTGTTTGTGTTCTTCTTATCGGTAAATGTTAACTCCCATTTAGAAAGCGTCAGTTTCTAATTTCTCTAGCAATCAAAAAGCCGATTTAACGAACTTTCCCGCTTTATATCCTTTATACCTCTATTAACCAACAGTAATTGGAGTTCTGATCACTTTTTTCGGCGGTTTTCGGGTTTTAATGATTGCCCTTCTCGTTATCTTTCCCCTTCCGAGCTATAATATCCTAGTGGTTAAAGAGTCAAGCGGATGGAATTACGGCATAAACAAATGTTTCCAATTCCTAGTTTGATTGTTTACTGTGAGAGCGCGGAACGCACATCGTGCCCCCAACACGGCAACCGTGATGAATGTATATTTTCTTATGGCTCATCAGGAAGCTCATAAAATCTTGCAAAGTGCCATTCGTGATATTTACAGGAATTATTTGTAACATTTCTTTGGCACTTATCTGATAAGAAATTTAACCTAAAATATAATCTTAAAACCCCATGACAGAACATACATGCACTTAAAACGTGAAGCTTTAAATAATGATTGAAAAACTAATCACCAAGAAATGGTGTCCACAATTCTGCTTTTTTGCCTGTTCATTTTTATTTCTCATGGCAGAGAAAGACGCCCAACCGTACTTACATCTCTATCCACTGTAGATGTCCATAGGGCCCCTCAAGCTTGAAAATAGTTCACATATCATGTTGAATTGAACGTTTTTGCCATCTGGGATTATTTCTGCGTGAAACAGAGATAGCACTTCACTACCGGAAAGAGTTTCATAAGATTGAGCAATAAATAAGGATTCTTTCAGATTTTAAGCACTGCTGGGAAATATTCCAATATTCTGAAAGAAAGTACGGTTAATGGTAACTTTGCGACCAATATATAGCCGTCTTGCTATTTTTTTCTTGAAAATACTCGTATAATGCTAGATGGCTGCGTATATTAAAGAAAAAATATTTCAAAAACAAAACAAGACTACTTGTTCTACCTTTATTAACAACTGAGCAAAAATTCTTTAAGTTGCAAACCGTATTGAATTTACATGTTTTAAAAGTTAGATTGAATTTTCTGCTAACATTCAGTTTTTGCCGAAACCTTTAGGACCGCATCCAGGGTATTGGATGTTTTTCTACCCACGAAGTGTGTATATTCGCGAAGGGAGATTTTGGGCTGAGTAATCAGGTATTGAAAATGACGGACCCGGAGCAATTCAGCAAATTTTTCACGCTGTTCACACTTTAATGAGGCCTTTGCCTACATTTGATGCAAATCAAGGTGCTGTTATTTTAACAATGGGTTAGCTTGTAATCATTACCTTCATACTTGATATTTGCTTTGAAATCGAGCGGCTCTTTAAGTAAAATACCAATTTAATTTGTCTTACAAATTAGAACCATAGCTACCCATTGCTTTGGCTTGTAAGTTTGCAGTAAAGGTGAAAGTAGCAAACTGCTCGCGACACCGTTGCTAGGCAACTAGACTGAATTTACATAGAGGTGTTTTGCTATAGTTTGGAGAAGCGACGTAGAATTATCCACCGTCTTGCAAGCGGTTAGACCCTGCAAGACGGGGAAATATTTTGGCAATTCCGTTGATAAATTAAACTATCGACCGACATTTAAAAGCAGGGCGCACTAGTCGTTGGCATTTCCCTGCCGATTAGGAGGGTTTGAGTGCACCTGATTTCAGGCGATTGGTCTCTAATTATTGTTAATTAGTATGTTAAGTATGCTCTGATCTCTTTGCGCTTTAGTGTTTTGGACCACACACTGCCCATCAATATCAAATAGAACGGAAGCATCTTCATCTCGGCGCATCTGTTCCACGGCAGTGGATCGTTGGGAAACTAGCTACCTATCAACGCCGCGACCATGTGAGCGTTCTTCAAAGACATACCATCCCGTGCTATACGCTAGAAATTAATTAATCATATAAATAATCATTTGCACAGAGTTCTTCTGACAGCAGGTGCTTACATACTTACGATATCATAAGCTGTTTCCATCCCCGAAACACGCAGTTAACAAAAACGTTATATTTTGCTAAAGAGGCTTATTTTCCTCTAATACCTATTTATAATGGAACTAGCTTTCTGAAAGGGAATTTCTACTGGTGGAAAAAAGAAACAGAAAAAATTCAAATAACCATAAGTCCTTTGGTGCATTTTTTTCTGGTGATGCGCTCGTCTTCACTGAAAGGTTTATAGGTATTTAATTCGCATTTAAACGATGTTTATTTAAACTTTGAAGCGAGCCCTCTGTGACCATATTCCGGCATCAACATATCTGGAAAACTCATTCCGAGATCGATTGATTGTTTTGAAAAGTCTCGGCAAACGAGTGCGGCTCAAAAACGCTACGCCAAAAACGCTACGCGATCAATCAAACGCGTGTCAAGACAATGAAGTCCTCATCAGTCTTTACAAGGACAAATGAACACTGACCACCGTTCAACTCTGGACAATCAACGATCTTGGACAAATGTAAAGCTGTCACTGAGAAATGTTAATAGACCTTTCAGTCTCTGAATGTTTCTGTTGAAAGTATGTGGCGGTTGTGAACTCATTGACTCTATGATGGAACTCGGGATCGATGCAAGGTGACATACGCAAATAGACGCCATCCAATTTATTTTCAATAAAAGTGTTTTTCGTCGTTTCCGAAATTTTCTTTTACTCTTTCACGCGAAAAGTGAGCATTTAGTGTGCCCCAACTTGAATTTCGATCAGTTCCCGATCTTTAAATGTGTCTGTCAACAGTTTGCACTTGTTGATTGGGTGCGTCGCGGGGAAATTGTTTGAAGTGCCGTTTTATGAAGACGATGAAAACGATGACACCCGCACCCTGTCCATCAATTGTCAAAGCTGCCCTCAGTAGAAGGAACCCCAATTGAACCCAATTCGAGCGGCAAACACACGGGTAAATATTACTTTCTGCTTCACCTGTGTTAATAACATTTACTTCTTTTCTCCTTTTTGCTTGCTAGCTCCGGAAGATACCTTGGTCCCCGCATTTTTTCTGCGGGGCTTTTGATCACATAACACTAATTTGATTTTTTTATCAAATGAAATTAACAGCGGCACATTGAACCACTTGTCAAGACTAGGTCGGTTGTCAACAACTACTGCCGAAAACGCATTTACATCGATCAACAAAGCTTGCGTTATTTCCTCTTTTTTATTTCTATGGGCTATTATTTGTTGTGTATTTTCCTCACAGTTATGGCTGTTTTCGATAAGTTTGTGATTTGAATTTATAAAATCAAAGTCGAGCAAAGGCCAAATCCACGCGCAACTTCTTGACATAAGTGACCAATAAACAAGCGACCCTAATGTCACGTGTCGCTCCCTTTGATGTCGGAACCCGCCGCCTTCCATCTGGCCTATCTCTGCCATGCATCTTGGGCACATTCAATGCTCTTATTTGTTGGAACATGGCATCCTTTGACAGTCAGTTTTCGGAGTTTCGCCTTCATTATGACGGCAGCAATAAACAGCTTATCAGTTTAAGCAACTCCTGGTTAGCCCATTCAAGTCTATTAAAGCTATTAGTTCGGATCGAGGCCCAACAAAGAGCTACCTAATGAAAAAAGCTATATTCAATCTAAATGTAAAATTTGTTGATAAAAGCGGAAGAATGTCAACTGGCAATAGAACCTAACACACCCCTATAGTCGGAGACGCCTTTGTAATTGAATCAATGGCAATTTAATTATTGTGTTATTACAGATGATTTCATACTTTTATTGGGCAACAAATAGCGTCATTTAATGCGGAAAGGGTGTTTATTTACCAAAGGGTCTCGTCGATAAGGAACAAGCGCTTTCGGCAAAGCTTCGCGGGGTACGAGCATCGGATCACAATACGACACTGAATTGATTTCAATTTGCAGCGAATGCAGATATTAATCTCTATTTG